AAAATCTTAATGTTCTGCCACCACCACTTTATTTAGTATTTATAGGTTATGCTCATTACATGGAAAGGACAGATCTGTCCTTAGTATTTACATAACAAATAGAACAAAATAAAACTGAAATAAATAACTACTGAAATAACCACTGACCACCAGCTAACCCTAGGATGACTAGAACACCTTCTACCCTACGAACACAGTGGGACCATAGCTGTGGGGCCCATATCATTGTTCTCTACAAAGAACATTAAATTGCCTCTTAAAACATGGCAAATCATCCTATGTAAAAGAAAAACATCTTAAATATATTAATTTCAATATTTTCAAAAATAATTACTAATATAATAAGTATTTAATAGAGCAATTCCATATAAATTAGCTTCTAAAGATGGCTATAATTTTATATGATAAAAATTTAAGATAGAAAGTAAAAGTGAAAAAAAAACAAGGATGGTGCTGCTGTTTTATATATAGAGAGAGAAACCTCTTTATATTTCTATGCTTCCTTTTTTTTTGTCTTCTCAAAACCCTTTTGGATCTTTTAAACTTCAGTATTAAAACTTTAAAATAAAGTATAAATGATATATTTAGTATATAATAGAATTGTTTAACACAAATATTAGTAAGAAAAAGCAATATGAATGATATTGTAATATAGTACCTGTCTTGCCATTTTGTTTTGCTTGGGTGGGTGCCTTTTTGCTAGAAGTCAAGGTGTTTAGGCTGGCAGGGCACCTAGTTGCATAGGTGACACCTTGACAACTTTGGAAGATAGAAATTTTATTTTGTAAATTAGTAATATCTGACTGCTGAAAAAAATGTAGAAATATCTTACACCAGGGTTTGCCGTGATTGATTTGTTTTATGCTATTGGCAGGTAAAGTGGTTGCTAAGTTCTGTGCAAAATACCTTCACCAACAGGTGTTGAAGCATGAAGCATATGCAGCTGGAGATATAGGCACTTCTGTTCAGAAAGCATTTTTTAGGTATCTTGATTCAATGTATTTGAAAATTTCAGTTTCTAATTAGATGAAATGGTCTACTTTTAACTTCTAGGAGGGGAGATCTTTTCTTTAACAACTCATAAATTACATCAAAGAGTTTTAAACCAGGCAGAAGTTATAACTTTGAGATCATGTATCAGTTGTCAAGAAGAGATAAATATGAATTCAATACCCTCCAGTGAATGCAAATATTTGCTTATGTAGCTGCATTTTTTTTCTTTTGTTTAATTTATGGCACTATTTCTATTGATGCAGGATGGATGAGATGATGCGCGGACAAAGAGGATGGAGAGAGTTGGCCATATTGGGAGATAAAATAAACAAGTTTACTGGAATGATAGAAGGGTTGATATGGTCTCCTAGAGGTGGTGAAGCTAATAACCACTTTGATGATTGGGCCTTTGAAGAAGTATTCTCCAATATCTTCATTAATGATATTTATTGTGGTATCTAGCTATTTGTATGCTGTTCATGTATATGTTTGTCCTTATTTGTTCCTTTGATTGGGATCCACTTGAAAGTTTGTGATCATACAATCAACATTGACTTATATAAATATTTATGTTAACTAAAATACTTGAGAACATTGTCAAACAGTTAGGATATACAAATGAAAAATTTGCATATGGGAGATTCTGTGCTTTCTGACCTGCATTGATATCATATCAGTGATAAACTATGTTGAGCATGTTGAAGCATCTAGATATCATAGTAGAAACTTTATAGACATGTTCTATTGAGCTTCATGCTAAAGCAGTATATAAAATATCTTCTTCTTTTTTTTCATGGGGGGGGGGCAGGAAAAAGAGAGTTACTTGTCTTTCAATGAACACATGTCCCTGTTCTCAGCTAACCAGAAAGTTCATGCTAGAAAATATATGTAACCATAGTTGTGCGTATTATAAGTTTGACTGTCGGACATGATACCTAAGAAACATATTGCCTTTATCCTAAAGAGTCATAGATTTAAAACTCAGATTTGAAATTACTTCCTTTTCTCTCATCTTTTCAGACATGAAATATACCTCAGATTTGAATTTTCTTTGTCCATTCTTTTTGACTTACTGTTTCTATATCTTTAGGACGCTGTCCTCCCATCCTACATAATATCTGCATAAATTCCAAGTGTGCCTTGTCAGTAATTAATAAATGGTCTAAAGTTATCAAAGTTCCTTGTCTATTTGGATTGGAAAGCTTATGGAGAGGTGAATGTTTATGATATTGTGTCCATTTCTGTCTTTATTATGTCAAAAAAATCCATATAATGATTGAGAAATTGAAATAGGAAGGGAAAGAGCAAAGTGTAGGTTTACAGTGACATTGCTATCTTCTCTGCATTGGAGTTTAATATAGATTCTGAAACAAAAGTTGGTTCATGTGATAGAAGGAACCATAGTTGTATTTCATATGTAACTGCTGTATCAATCTGTTATTTAAACTAAAGGCTGCATTTGTTTTTATGTAAAAGAGGTGGGAAACAAAGTTTTTGGCTGTAAAAGGGCCAAAATATCTAAAGTTCTACAAACTGAAAAGTTTTCTGAATGGGCCTAAATAACAGCATTCTCTACTTAAACCTTTTTTTATACATGGACACTAAAAAAATGGGTACCATACCTGTGTCAGACAGACACCGATACAACACTTGAAGGGACTCTTCCTGTCACACTCATACTTTGTGACTAAAGAACCTCAAACTCCTGTTGTAACTTCTGGACATGGATAGTAAATTTGTAAGACTTGATATGTTTGCTTATGTTCTTTGTATTGATTTATGCATCTAAATATACTTTTTTTTAATAATTATCCCATTATTCATATAACATAAAAAATATTTTAAACTAGAAACTAAAGTACAGTAGTTGATTTGTTGTAACTTATTTTTCTGGCTTGCCAAGTCTGAAATTTGTACCCATTGTCAGATTTTGATACTCATACTAGTTAGTATCCATGTAACATAGATTCTCTTCTCATGTAAAATAGCACAAGCTTTATTATTTTTGTAAGTATTCTTTTTGGCACTTTCAGCATAATTTAAGATTCTCATCTACTGTAAAAATTGCAATTAGGGGCCTCACTCTGATTTCTCTGGACCAACTTCTGGATGCACAGCATGCGTTGCTATTATTCGGAATAATCAACTTGTTGTTGCAAATGCCGGTGATTCTCGCTGTGTAATATCTAGGAAGGGTCAGGTATACCTTCTCCTTTAACATGATGGTCTTTCTGTACATTATATTTGGAAATTCTATGAAGAGAAACTTTTATGCTCTCAATGTGACATACACATAACCCACATCAGTTATTCCAGATAGTTCAATCATTAGACCACCTTTTGGATGGGACTGGGACAAAGAATCATTTCAATAAAAAAATTCTATGATTCTAAGCTGGCCATTCTATTTGCATTTTTATCATATTGTTAGCCATACTTTACTTCCCTTGGTTCAAAGTGTATTTTTGTCCCTCTTAAGTGGACTTTTATGATAATGGATTATGAGTTTTGGCTCATGGTGCACTGAGGATATGATTCACTTTTACACAATTCAGACAATTCTCCAAGAAGAAAACTTTTTTTTATACTAATCATCAGCGAAAGCTTGCCCTACATGCATGTATGCAAGGTACACGTACATGTAAATGTGTATTCATTAATATATGTGTTTAATATTTTGTAAGTGGGTAATGTGGCTTCTTTTGTGCAGGCATACAATTTATCAAGAGATCACAAGCCTGAGCTTGAGGCTGAGAGAGAAAGGATTTTAAAAGCTGGTGGTTTCATTCATGCAGGACGGGTTAATGGAAGCTTAAACTTAGCAAGAGCAATAGGTACTTCATGTCTTCCTTGTGGGCTTTGTAATTCCCAAATAAAATAAATCAATATCAAGAGGAACTCATTATTGGTTGCATTTTTTTTGAACCTAACCTACTTAGTACTGAATGCAGGAGATATGGAATTTAAACAGAACAAGTTTCTGCCTGCTGAAAAGCAAATTGTAACTGCTAATCCTGACATTAACATTGTATGTTTCCTTTCATTCTTTCTGGTCTTTTAACTGTTTGCAAGGATCACTCATGGGATTGTTTCTGGGAGATCCCCCTAGTTCAATACGAAATCTCTTTCCTCCAAGAAATCACATCATTTTCCTATTATTGATTTGAAATGCATCTAGATGATTCTATGGGTTGAGATATTGCAGGACTTTAATGTTCTGTAGGTTTTCTTTGTTGGGTCTTGTTTTAAGGGGGGTTTAATTTTATTGAGTTTTGTGGGACAATGTTTTTAGGGGGGTTAATAATAGATGGAAAGATTAGTCGTGTTTAGGAACTGTTGGTTTGTTCTTCCAGAATATGGAACATTGGGTTCATCTTAGTTAAAGTCTTGAGAAAGAAAATGGTATTGGGTTTTTGTTTCTGTGTGGGTGATATCTTATYGCCCTTTCTGTAGTCCTCTTTTCTTTCTTAATAAACTTTCATTTTCATTTACTATAAAAAATAATGTTTCTAATCCTCCAATTTAAGGACCACGCCCTGAGTACCTTTGACCCTATCTTTTTTGTTTGTTTCCTTCTAACTTTCATTTTTCCAGTGTTTAGAAAACCGGACCGGACCAGCCAATCGAACTGGTTGAACCATGACCCGGGGTCCTGACCGGTTTGGTCACACCCCAATAACTGGACTTGCTCAAAACCGGCTGACCGGCCGGTTTAATCAGAAAACCGGTAAACCAGTCCCAGTTTCATGAAACCGCCCAGGTCCATATATAAGTAAAATTTTAAAATGTTGTTAACAAGATTTGAACCAAAGACCTCTTATTTGCAGAGATTACTTAATTACCACTAATCAACCTCTTTACTTATGTTAATTAATGATTATTTATTGTACATATTACATTATTATGCACGTATTTTAAAGAAAATGCAAGTTAAAAGGCTTGAACCCTAGTCATTTGTTTTAAAATTTAAGAAGCTTACCATCCATCCACCATATTTAAGTACATTAAAAGTTGTAAAATATATTATATATAGTATTTATGTGACCCGTAGTATATATATGTATATGCCATGTCATCACGGTTTGACCCCGGTTGAATCTCTGACCCTTGGCCGTGAACCTCTCCCTTCTCTGGTTCTATGCCCGGTCCAGTTCTCTAAACATTGCATTTTTCTTTCTTTCCTTCTTTCTTCCTTCTATTCTTACTGTCAATGCAATAGATGAATGATTAAGTTGATTTTTTCCTTCCCTTAGTTTTGATATTGGAGATATTATTGTAGTCCATTTACTGGTGTATTTGTAAGCCCTATGCATATAGACATGTGAACCATAGTTGTCAAGGCGTCTTGGTGATTCTGGGGCACCTAGGCGATAAAAATTTTATAATATAAAGAAAGTAACTTTCATTAGTTCCCAAGTTTTATATTCCATTCAGCATGCCATATTGATTGAAAAAATAGCAATTCTCTTTATTAAATTTCCTCTAAAATGTGGCAAATCATCATATCTAAAAGGTAAAAAATCCTTTAAATATATTAATTTCATTATTTTCAAAAATCATACTACTATAATAAGCATTTAATAGAGCAATTTCATATCAAGTGGCAAAGGTTATTAACTTTACATGATAAAAATTCAAGGTGGAAAGTAAAATAGGAAAAAAAAAGTATGCAGTTTCTGTTTTATTTAATTGAAGAGATGGGGGGGGGGCGAGAATAAAGAAACGAAGCCTCTATACTTCTATTATTTCTTTCTTTCTTTCTTTCTTTTTCTCTTCTCAAAACCTTTTGGTCTTTTAAATTTCAAGTAAAAAATTAAAACAAAGTATAAGTGATATATAGTATATTATAGAATGATTCACACACCTATTAATAAGATGCATCAATATAAATGTTACTATAATAATGTACTCCCGCCTTATCATTTTTGTTGCCTTGTCAGGTGCCTAGTTGCTTAGACGGGTACCTAGTTGCCATAAGTCAAGGCATTTGGGTGAGGCAACCAGCCAAGGGCGCCTAGTTGCCTCAGTGATGCCTTGACAACTATGATGTGGGGATGAACAATGTGTAATGTGAAATCTCTTTCCTGCAGGAAATCACACCATTTTCTTGTTATTACTTTGGAATGCTTCTCTTTTCAGTTTACTGAAACCATTTTCATTTGGTTTTGACTTTTGACCATTTGCAATTAGGTTGAGCTTTGTGATGATGATGATTTCATTGTACTAGCATGTGATGGCATCTGGTGAGTCTTTTCTGTCCTTTTCCCGTATCTGATATCTCTAATCTTATATGATTACTGTGTAGAGAAAAACTGATTTTGTAAGTTGAGTTTGATTTCAATCAAAGACAATACCTAGGAGACAAGGCGCCCTTGAAGTTTCGCCTCGCCTAATTTCCAAGCAGTTTTGTACATTGTGATATAAAATACTTTTATAATCTTAATTTTTGGGATTGTAATTATAAATAAACATTATTAAACTAAAGTATTCATATTGTTTGTTTATATACTAATTTCTTTTTTATTATTTTCTTATTTGTTAGGGTTTAATCAACACAAACATTGCTAAATGCTGTATTTTCTTCTTTTCCTATAACAAAATAGGGGTTCAGCCCACATTTTTTTGAATTTTCTTTCTTTCTTTCTTTTTTTCTTATGAATATGTTGATTTTCTATACTTTAACATGAAGTTTATACTTTTCTTGTGAAAATGATGGATTATTATTAAGGAATGGAACCTAGGGAACTACCCTAGGATATCTGTTTTTTTACTTTAAAAAAATCAATCGCCTAGGCGGGGTGCCTAGGCGACAAGGTGCTCCCCTGCCACATAGACTTGCCTTGGCGCCTTGATTGGAGATCATGTTGGCTTTATTTAAGGGATCTAGTAATGAATGCACCCAAAAAATGTCACAAGTTTAAAAAAGGGGATTAGAAAACACCAAGCAATCAGGTAGCAGGTCAAAACAAGTTGAACAATGAACAATTCACAATGCCTAGGAAAGGAGCTAGTGATGGAGGAAGACTCTGACTTGAATCAGGCATCAAACTTGTGCTAGGAAACYGGTGAGTGCATCTCTCCCATGAAGCAGTCCGAATTGTCTAGGTGGTAGGCTTGCAGGGACCATTGATCGACATGTGAGAGAAATAGAGTTTGAAATGTAGAACCCCATTTCTGGCCACTGGGAACTCCCTAAAGGAACTAATAAGGGAAGTATTATCAAAGTCATTCTTGGAAAGGGGTAACAACTTCTGGGCCCACCCTAAGGAGGCATAGACAAGCAAGTCTAGGTTGGGATGTAGACTGACGGATGAACTTAGTTAGACCAAAACCTGGGTGGGTAAAAAGAACATCTAGTTGACCCCAACCTAAGTAGGGTACATTCTTGCACCATCAAGGATCAAAGATCATCAAAGGTAATTTGCCAATGGCTTCGGCAAAGGCAGTGTAAAGTAACCAATAAGGCCAAGCATCCAAGCAAATCTAGGTTGAAGACTTGCCAAAGGGAGGTGAAAGGCTATCGAATTTGGGGAGGGTAGACCCAACTCAAACTCCACCTACAAAGCCCGTGGTCTTGGCAAGACCTTCGTCTTTGCTCCAATCAGCTCAACTCTAGGTCAAGAAGATTATTGATGGCAACAAAAATATAGAGTAGATGCTTGGGTTCGTTATGTCAATCATCAAGTTCCAACAAACTCCCTCTCCACTGAAATCAAGTTCTACACCTAGCAAAGGAAAGAGGGCAGTTCACCTAGGGAGTGTCTAGAGTTGTAGTGAGTGGAAAAACAAGTTATCTTTGTATTTCCACTTGTAGTGGTGGAGTCCCTCATAGAAAATGAAATGGTGATTCAGGTTGTTTCGATGAACAAAGATGATTACTATCAGAATTGATCAGATTAGGAAATCAGAATTGGGGGAGAACTTCTGGAATGTTCTTGAGTTACAGTCTTGTCCCTGCGAAACAGCTCTTTCCTTATACTCGGTTTCATTGTACAAAAAAATGAGTGTGTGTCAAGATTTATAGTTCCTCGACTGATAAAAAAAAACCTAATAAGTATATTTGCCCCCCCCCCCCCCCCCACACACACACACCCTAATGTTGTGTTTAGTTGCAATGCAAATAAATTTGCATTAATGCAAATTTATGACAGTGCAAATGATTCTAGTGTAAATTCTTACCTATTTTTTATCAAATTTTAGCTTATTTTATTTGATTGCAGTACAAATGAAGTAAATTAAGACATGAAGCAGAATAAAATAAAACTCAAAACAAATTTAAATGAGAATTTTCATTTTTTTTTTCATTTGCACTCCCATGCATTTGTACTAATGCAAATAAAATTGCACTGCAACCAAACACAGCTTAAGGGTTTGTTTTCTTGTGCTTCTTTGTTCAAGACCTTTTGTGAATCCTCAGCTTCTTCCTTTCCCTTTAAAGAGTTTTGGTGTAGTCCCATTCCACCCAAAGTAAGAGCTTCTGTTGGGAAGTAGTTCACGGGAAGATAAACATTCTGGATATGCTACAAAAGAGAAGATGTAAGTTGGTTGGAGACAGTGTGTGGAAGAGTAGATAGGTCTCTCATCAAATGGGCATCCATTGTAAAAGATTTTTTTTTTTTTTTTCTGGTTTTGAGTATCTCACTTTTGTAACCATTGGGAGCGGCCTTGGCCAGTGGCCACCAGTCAACATGTGTAAGGACACACCAGCACAATTAAAGTGGCCTGTTCCACATGGTTTTTTTTTTTATCAATGCCTGTTCCACATGTTTTGCTTTGGATGTAATAGTAGCCTTTTAAATGAATGAATAAATATATCAAGTTTTCCCTTCTCATTCTCCTCCCTTGAGAGCTCTGTTTCAAAGAGGTCTGAGCTCCCTTGAAGCAGCTCAAAGAACCAGATCTTATCAGTTTACTTGACCACAAGGCAAATAAATAAAATTGATTGAAGTGCAAGTAATTGATCAAAAAAAAAGTGCAAGTAGGCCCAAGATTAGCAGATGGGATTCCGATAAACTTTTGTTTTGGGGGGAATATATGTTGTAGTTTCCCTTCACTCTGAACTTTGTATGTTATCAGATGTGTAAAAGATATGATGGCTTATTCTGAAAGTGAAAAAACAGCAATCAAGATGAATCAATTTCATAGTTTACCCAAGATCTCCATTGGATCTATTGGGAACTAGATATGAAAGTTTTCCCTGAATCCCACAATTCAATCAACCCAAGTTGTTCACCAATAGAAATCACACTACTTCCATTCTCTTTCACTAATCCCCATGTTTTAGGCTGAATAGAAATCTGAAAGTTTTTCCTGAATCCCATGATTCAATCAACCCAAGTTGTTCATTAATAGAAATCACACTACTTCCATTCTCTGCAACTTTCACAGCTCTCTAGCTTGGATCTATTGGGAACTAGAAGTTGTAGTTTGTCCTCCTTTCTCTAGGGTTTGATTGGCTCACTCTAGGGTTTGGAACAACATCAATTCTAAAGCTCTCTATATCTTATATAAAGAGGTAGGTGAATTGGGGTGTATGAGATCCTTTTATGGTTTCCATAACATAAGAGTTAAATTAGAACAGGAGTAGAAATCCCTCTCCACCTTGAGATAGGAATATTATTCTTTTAATATGTGTGGTCAAAATTAAAATATCTTTTTAAATTTCTGTTAGGTCCAATAATTCCTCTACAATTGCTGTTAAGTCCCTGGGCTCTCTTATGCAAAGATGATTTCAGCTCTGTCCCTCCACACATCAGTGTTTTATCCTAGTTGGGAAAACCATACTTGTGTCACCATTTTGACTTATCACCAATGAAATGAGATTTATCCAATGAGTTTTGCTCAGACCGGAAAACCCCCTAAAGATGTCAGATCTACTAAAATCTCTTTCCAGGGTAACTGCTAGCATATGATAACTCAGGTATATCAGGGATTACTTAATCAATCAAGACACTGCAAGATAAGCCCTAAAAACTATCCTGTGGCTCCAAGTGCCACTAGGACACTTTCCATATTCATCCTAGGGTGATTTGGGGATAGAATATAAGAGTCCTAGTGCAACCTGGATTCCTTCCCAAGAGTCCCAGTTTGACTAGGATTCCTCAATACTCATCCTGATATTACCTAGAGATCTGTACGAGTCCTCTTACTGGGATTCTACTGCTAGAGTCCTAGGCTCCTAGACAAAGTCCTAATGCAGATCAGCTTCTTGACTGTAACACTCTCCTCTTGTCTGAGGGTGTAGATTCTTTATTGACAATCCCCAGTACTGCAATATCACTTTCAGCCTCCCAACATACAGAGTATGTTAGTTACAATCCAATAGTAACCTCACACATAGTATATCAAAGTGTCTAGATCATGATATCACGACTTTGAGAATTTCTTAGGTCCAAGAGTAAACATCTTTGCATCTGAGTGGTCACAATCACTAATAGTGACTGATAAATCTTGTGATGGATCAAGCTCAGTTGGATCAGTATCAGTATGCATATGATACACACCCGGAGTTTTCACTCCAGTCGCTGAGATATCACTGTTGACTATCCACATGCCAATCATAAAGTGAATCACCCATAGTTGGGATATTCTAGGTTCACAAGGAACCAAGCCCTTCAGGTCTCTTGTGATAAATCTCACCCATCACCTGAATGCCCTATAATTTAACCTCTGGACTAAAGGAATGCCCCAAAAAGGTCTCACTTTTATTAAATAAAGAAACACAGTACAAAGACATAAAATGGCTTTAAATGAGCACAAGGAAATCATTTTCCAACATATTCTTCACTTGAGAGAGGATATATTCAAGTGGGTAGGAACTTTGTGTGATGGTGTCTTCTTTGCTTTGGTTAGATGTGTCTTGGGATGTCCAAATGCTTTTTCTTTTTGCAAATTATGACATTATTATTGAGGAGGATGGGATGCCTTAAAGCATATTCAAGCCATGATGCCACTGAACTTAGATCACTCCAACATACTTGGACCACTGTTGCCTACAGTATCCACTAATAGTCCCCTTATTTTTCAAGTTTGCACAAAAATTGATGCCTACCTTAGATTGGATCCTGGGAAGACATTGAATGCATTTTTAATTAAAACCAATCAAGTGCCCCTAACACATGGCTTCAAACATACTGTGAAGTGCTGTTATATTTTTTAACTAGCAATAAAAAGAATAGTATATTTTCATGAATATTGAATCTATTGTTCGACAAGCAACAGAATTCAGAATAGAACATTTATGTTTAATAGATCATAAGAAAAAGGGAAGATTCTGAGCTCCAAGGTTCTGTTCCCTTCCAATACAGAATACCTGTCACTGGAGTGGTTTTATGTTAATACAAATCATGGGGTTCCATCTTTAGCCACTTCAAAGGCTCTATACTCTCCAGCCCATCCTTAAGAATCAGAATGCAGAAAGCTACAGTTGATAGAGCACAAGCACTGGAAGAACAAGATTGATTATGTCTCTCTTTTTTTTTTTTTTTTAAACCCCAAAATTTACTCTGGGTGGAGGTCGGAGGGAGGGGGGCACCTTAATTATGTCTCTTGTTTTCTTCTTTTGGCATTTGCCTGTTTTATATTATTATTAAGAACTACTTGATTAGGAATTTCAATAATTCAGTTAAACAACTTTTTTTTGGTAAAGATCAGTTAAACAACTTAGTATGTGGATCTTGTTTTTCAAAATTGTGATTATTGTTGTTGTTATTCCTGTTTCCAGGGATTGCATGTCAAGCCAACAACTTGTAGATTTTGTTCATGAACAGTTAAACTCTGTAAGTTGACTAGCCCTTCAAAGTTGAAAAATACGCTAATAACTATGCATAATACAAATACGTACCTATGCATCTATCAATGTTGTAAAAGGCAGCAGTTTGCTTCTGAGACGAAACACCCTATGTGGAAAGAATATTTCATCTTCTGAAAATTTGCTTTATTGGACATCTTGTTGAACTTGGACGTTTGATGCATGCTGGACTTTTAGTTCAGAGACACCTTAAAATTACCATCTCTTGCTTCAATGTTTATTTGCATTTGATTTCTAGAAATTTTCATGCAAATCAATCTCTTCCTGTTGGTTTTTATTATGAACCTAACTTCTATAGGAACATATCTTATGGTATGTGAATAAACTATATGGGTTTGTCTATAYCTTGGATTTCCTGATGTTGTAGTCAGTCAACTGGTATTGGTTTTGGATGCTGATGTGCTAGGGTACGCTGCATATAAAAGACCATGATTTTGGATAGTGAGAATCATTGATCTAAATGATCTTGTCATTCCACAGTTGGGCTTCATTTGTAACCTGATTTACATGCAAGGGGTGGTCTTATATGCATCAGTCTTGACATTAACCATAACAAATGGTGCAGGAAAGCAAGCTTTCAACAGTATGTGAAAGAGTTCTTGACAGATGTTTGGCGCCATCAACTGCTGGTGGCGAGGGATGTGACAACATGACCATGATATTGGTGCAGTTCAAGAAACCTAGTGAATCCAAAGCATCTATGGAGAGGTCATCATCATCCAAGCTAGCAGATGTTGATTCAAAATCAGCAGATAATGAATCAAAGTAGTAGTTATGGTCACTCCATAGATGAAGTGGGTGGATCATATTATCTGTACACTGAATCTTGTGGATATGGCAGTTGTCATTTTCAGATTTCACACCTGAAACAACTTGGATTCTCATATAGTATCTGTATATTAATGATTCAGTATGAAATCAATAGATTAGCTTTTCTTGAAGGTGTAGGCCTGTGTCTTGTGGATATATGCCGATTTGACCTGCTTAACTGCCATTTGTTGGAATAAAGTGTACAGATGTTTCTAACTGTCCAGTTCCATAAGAATCAGTGAGAAAAGTTTCCTACCCAAAGATCTTCCCTAAGGCTACGCTTGGCTTGACAGAAAATGAGAGAGAAATTCCTTGCGAAGCATCTGTTTGTGTGGTGTGCACTCCAAGGAGAATCTGTTTGTTTGCACTGGTGTAAATGAATAGGTGTGCAAATGGGCTGTTTGAAAATCCTGGTTTACTCTTGCTTCAGACTTTGGCTTTGTTTTGTTTGTTTGTAGGGTTCGACTATAAAAGTGGTAGCCAATGTATTCATCAAAATTTAACCGGGAGGGGGGGTGCGGTGATTGGTCAGAGTTCCTCCAGCATCATGTCTTTCCGGCAAATGTTGTGGTCTCCACTTACATAAGATAGAATGGAGGCTGGAGGAAGGTTATTTGTTTGGGAGGAAGCAAACAAATTGATGTGATGATGTGATGCCCACTTTATGTGCGAGAGAATTGAGGTAGGAGGAAAGTTGTACAAATTTAATATGTGATTTTAGATGCAAAAACCACTGTTAATGAGTACAAATGAGATAAAAAATACAAATTTTGGATCAGGTAATAGTGCAAATCATAATTCCAAACGAATGCAAAAACCACTGCTGAACATTAATTCACCACCAACAACACTACATAGTCTACATTAACTCCTCCGACAATCGCTCATCATTAATACCAGTAAATCGAGGAATCTAACGTGGAGAATTGCATTTTAAGTATATACATAGATTCAATTAAATTAGTTAAGGCAATCTAATTTTAATTATGCTTTATGCTATATGATAAAAATTAAATTAAATTTAATCATAATTCATAGAAAATCTAATAATAAATATTAGATTATTGACTGAATAACCTATTTCCAATTTTGAAAATAAATGATCTATGAGTCAATTAAATCAATTCAAGACTATAGTGCATTTATTATTTGTTCGTGTTTAACAAAGTGTATTTTCATGTTTCACAAGGTATGCTATCCAGACTTTAACAACATTAAAGATGTTAGTTGTGTATCATTGAATTATTTTTTTCCTTCATTACATTATAAATTATAGTTATTTATATGGATTTTCAATTTTTATTTGTAATTAATTAAATGCAAGCATATTAAACTTATATACTAGGTAGTTGGTAAGCTTAATACAACTTGATGGGTCATATGATTATCAAATACTTGATAGACCTTAAAACAATGGCTATGGATAATGGTGCTCTTAGCTAAAAGTATTCTAAACATATAGTCAATGTCTATAGCTAAAGTTAAGACACAAGTATATATGTTCATAGCTACAAACAAAACCATAGCTAAAAGGCACAAAAAGTTGTAGTTATGTTATCCATGGCTATACATGAAGACGTAACAAAACATAGTCCAATGTTTATACTAGGTAACCAGAAGTAGCGGTTATAACCGTTGTTGTATGAGGTTTCAACTTTGTTATAAGTTTATCTTCTTAAAATTGAAACTATAACTCTTCATGTATTTGGTATTAACCCAACTTAACTTTGTTATACAAGAAAGTCGAACAGAATCGGATGTGGGTATATAGATTTAATTCATTTTACATTTGAATTTAACTTAAATCATAACCATGGGACTAAAATAAATTCTAATTGAATTCAGAATGCAATCAGATAATGAGTGGCATTAATAAGTAAGAACTAAAAGCAACCAAAACATTATGTGATGCATGCCCTTAACCTACTACCTTTTTTTTTTAGTCACATGTTCCACCTCCTCAAGTGGGAACCTTTTAGGCATCTTCCTAAAATATAGCCTCTCTAGATATTTACATTGATAAACCTAGCATATAAGAAGATTCAAGATAACTCTAAAGAATTTTATACACATAGAACTTCATACTTTTCAAGATGGCTTTGGAAGACTCTAGAATCTCTTGGGCTTTACTAGAAATCTCTAGAAAGCCATGAAACCTCCATCCTCTAGTCTCCTTTCATAGCACTATCTAGGCAAACTGTGACACTCAGCACCTATTAAAGGTTTTCGCTTGGGCTAGGCTAGGCCGGATTTTGGGCCAATGAGATTAATCATCTTAATATCCCTTATTTTTTTGGATAATAAATCATGATGTTTTACTATAATTCAAAACCAACTTTCTAATCCTTTATTTTTGGTAGATACCAAACTTTTATCTTATCAACTTCAACAACATATTATCTTCTAATGAATAAAAAACAATGATTATAGTCTAAAACTCTTTTTTTTTTGGTAAATTGAAACTTTCATTAGAATAGAAAATAGATAACTAAATGGCTTTTGTCTGTTCCTAGATGAGCAACACCATTTGCATACTAACCAAAGAAAAACAATAGTTTTATTGTTAAAAAGATACACAGGTAAAAAAATAAAAGAAAATAGTCACTTGGTCATTTGTCCTTGAACTGATTAAGGGTTTCAATAATATTATAGCAATTGCTTTTCAGTTTTCACCATGATTCAGGCAAAATCCAAAGCCTAATGAAAACATTCATTCCTTTATTGCGACATCTTCAATTTGAGAAGGAGAGAGGGTGTTTGTACCTACCCCATTTTGCACCCAAAGAGAACCATTTTCATCTTGAATAACTTTACCAAATGCAACAATTAGCTTTAATCTAGCAGGTGGTATAGATTGGCTCAAGAGCCAATCTCCTTCCTCATTGAATCCCTTTTGCTCCTCTCAAGCTGCTTCCGAACAGCAATATCCTTCTTGATAGGGTGGTATAGATCCTCAATGACAAGATCATGGGCCTTTAGGATGCACAAGTTTTGCTCAGTTACACTCTTGGCCTAAGAAATATCGTGAGGTGAAACCATGCAGAATGACACCAACATAAGGAATCAAACCCTTGTTTGTGAACTTGTAGATATTCTCCTTAGTATCCAAAGTGGAGATCTATAGCCAAGAAGGTAGAGTCCTCTTTGTATGGTAGAGCTGATGGGGACATATCCCGTTTTGTCATGATTGTGCATACAACCACCCATGGTGGTGGCATTGGAATTGCAACTGTCTCTCTCCCCTTTACCTCTTCACTTTAACTTATTTTAAGAGGATGTAGAAATCTTAATAAAAATATTAAATAATATAACATAACACAAGGGGCATATATATACATGTTATATATACCAATTGGTTAGTGGTCCAATTGGTAGGATCTTGACTTTGTTGTAATAGTCTTAGGATCAAATCCCATTGCCACCAGGGTTGGGGAGGGTTTAGGAGACTATCCTCGGTTGTGGGCCAACCTGGGTTTAAAGTGTTGGGCCCAAACCCATCCAGAAATTTGTAGGCTTCATGCTTCTAGGTTGGGCTGGGCTTGAAGTCAAAAGCCTGGTCACCACTCCTACTTATGGGGCGGGCTAGGTTTGAATTGTTCAAGGATTGGCTCTGACGATCCTTGAACTTTGCCAAAAAAACCACTTTTATACCCTAAAGAATTTACATGGCCATTTTTGCCTTCAAACTATGATGGAAAGGACACTTCAATGCAAAAACCACTTTAGAAGCATCTATCGGTTAAAAAATGAATTTTATTAACCTTAGCGTAAATTACTTCAAGGATATCATCAAATTAGAATATTAAATTAATAATAACTAAGAGTAAATTATTACTTAAATACTAACTTAATTAGCTTAACTAATAGTAAATTGACAATCACTTGATTTACTTGATCAACTTTGTTAGCTTAGTAACTCAATTTGCTTAATTACATTAATTTACTTAATTTCTTTAATTACTTTATTTACTTAATCAACAGTAATTTAATTTACTTAGTTACCTTAATTAGGTTTGATTATTTAATTACTATATTTACTTAGCTTAACTTACTTAATTGACATACTTAATTGCTTGATTTACATAGTTGGCTTAATTATCTTAATTATTTTAATTTATTTAATTTAATTACTCTATTTACTTAGCTTAATTTACTTAATTGACAATCAAATAATTAATTTACTTATCTAGTTTAGTTAGATTAATTTCTTTAGTTGCTCTATTTACTTAACTTAATTTATTTATTCATTTAGTTAATTCACTTAATTGCATAGTTTTAAAATCATCGTTGACTTGGGCGATCAAATTCTTCAATCTAGGAACCATCCAATTGTCTGATTTCATTTTATACTCAACTCAGAATTTCCAAAAAAATGTTGACTTGGTTAGCAAATGGCTAAGCTGTTTAATTCGATGAATGGTTTTTGGGTCTTTTTATTTTAATTATTGTTTCATTTTCAAAATGTTATAGGTMGATTAGTTCGAACCGAACGATCGAACCATTGACACAAAATCTTATGGCCAAAGTGGTTCCATTTTCAAGTCGATTTATAAAATCTTGCTTAATTGGCTTAATTTACTTATTTAAATCAATTAACTTTGTTTGATTAATTCACTTATTTAACTTAATTTCCTTAGTTAATTTAATTTATTTATTCAATTGCTTAATTTACTAAGTTGGCTTAATTATCTTAATTAATAAACTTTATTTAATTACTTAATTAACTATAGACTATCATTCCCTTACGTAATTTACTTAATTAATTTTATAAATGTAGCCATTTCAAACTTAATTAACTTTATTTTATTAAGTGTTTAATGAAACTATCAATATCGTCTCATTGTCGGTTTTTTTTAAAGTGAGCTAGTTCATCATAGTTTGAAGGGAAAAATGGACTTTTCATAGTTTAAAGGGAAAAAAWTGGACTTTTTAATTCTGTGGATGATTTTTTGTTTTAAAGTTCAAGGGTAAATAAATTTTTGGCATCATCACCCCTACTACTCTCCTGCATCATCTATATGGATGAGGACCTGATTGATTGATGACGTGTTTACATATTTGCCACGTGTACGCAGATAGGGAGTTAAGATGGATAATGGGTGTTCTGGGTTCAGAAAGTTGGCCATTTTTGTTGCTTTTAATCCTTACAGACGGAATTCCCAAGATATTTTCTTTAAAACAGAAAACAATAAAGAAGACACGTATCGATAAATCCAAATTCAGATAACAACTCATGAAATTGTATTCTCGAAGGAAAAAAAAAAAAAAAACTCAAGAAATTGTATTGATGTAATGTGTAACGATGACTGAATTTTTATTCAAACCAAGCACAAGAAGAACGAGCGAGCAAGTGAGGAAGCAAGAAAATTCTCTGGGCGTCTATTGATCAGCAGTCGTTAAAAGGTCCAATACTTCGAAACTTTATTTTTTTTTCCCTCTGACTGGCGTCTGCTGTGATTTCATCGATTGGCGATCTCTCTGTCGCTCTCTTTGCTCCGGAATATTTTTTGCCTTTCTGCGTCTTTGATCAGTCTGAGTTCTTGTATCAATCAGATACAACTGGTTTTTACTCCAGTTAAGAACGGGCAAGAACCGTCTGGATTTTCGTTGCATTTACAGGAACCATCTCAATTATACCCACTTGGTGTTTCTGTCAGTTGTGTCTGATTAGAACGGTGTACGGTCGCATGAACTGGCACGTGAGTGCATCAGGAACCCTAGAACTTTTGTTCTTCTTTTTTTTTTATCTTATTTAAATAACATTCGTTTTATTTTATTAATATTATCAAGAACTGTATTCCGGGTTTCCAGTATTTTAGTCGATCTGATGAGTGGAAATTTAGTTTTGGGGTAGTTGATTTTGGGAGACGCTTAGAACTTAGATCGGTTCTGCAAGGCACTCTCTCTCTCTCTCTCTCTCTCTCTATTGAAATTTTCTATGTTCTATGTGGGTTTGCTTTCAGGAATTGAATTTGGGTTTCAATTTTGGGCTTTGGTTCTAGCTATTTGGTCATTCCTGCCGAGAATTTGTAGGATAACACTGGTTTTAATTTGACAAGATGCATAGTTGATATTCATGAATTAATCCACTGGTCACAGAAGATAACCTTGCAGAGGGTAATCATGTTGTTCATTTTGCAGTGGTTGCTTTTCTTTTTAATTGCATCGCTCTATTAATCTGATAGTTAATACTTTTACTTAGATCCAGGAAGGAATGGGGATATATCTCAGTACTCCCAAAACTGAAAAGTTTTCTGAAGACGGTGAGAATGGCAGACTTAGATATGGCTTGTCTTCCATGCAAGGGTGGCGTGCAACCATGGAAGACGCAGTGAGTATACTCTGTGAAACTTACCTTTCTAGTTCCTTCTTTCCTACTTTCTAGTTTGACCATAGATATTTTTGTGCTTCTTGCTCAATTTTTAAGTAAATTAGTGAACATTACTTAGGATTTTTGAAATGTGTTTTGAGGGTTTAAGGCCTGGTCTTAACAAATTTGGTTTAAATTTCTTCGAGTGGATTGTCCAATTGTTGTGCTTGTGGGTAAAATCAATTTGGATGCTAAACTGAAAACATGGAATTCTGCATTAGATTCTCTAAACCCATTAGATGTATATAGTTTGTACCTAACATATCCAACTATATGAAGAAGTGATAAGTAAATCTTCTGTGATTAATCAAATTCCTAAGGAGTGATGAACTCCCTTTAAAATAAAATGGGATTTCTCAGATCAGTTAGTTGAGGAAATTATTATTTTTTTTGGAAAAGGTAAGGTAATTTATTCATCAAAGAAACATTACAACAAAGCCCAGGCTATAAAGGCTGCCTGGGCCCACATCAGACTACATTCTCATCCAAGGCTGAGAACAAAACAAAAGATGCAAGTTCTGATGTTTAAATTCCTCCATCACCGACGCCCAAGAAAATAACTTGCCCACAGCTCTCTAGTCTCGCACTATTTCATCTGGGCTTTTAGCTTTACAACAGAAAATTCTGTTATTTCTCTCAGTCCAAATGGACCAAAGCACAGCTGCCGGAATGGTGTTCCAAACCAGCTTTCCTTTCTTGCTGAGGCCCTCAATACTCCCAACAGTTCAGCAGCTCCTTCACTGAATTTGGCATTACTCAACTAATCTCCAAGGCCTTAAGAAAGTGACCCCAGACATAAGAAGAAATTGGGCAATGGATACACAAGTGCTCAGTAGTTTCTGCAAGAGTACCACACAAGCCACACAAAAGATCCAGAATCTGAATACCACGTCTCTCCAGATTAACTCTAGTCAGACATTTATCAAGAACCATTGTCCAAACCAGAAAATTAATCTTAGAGGGGCTAGTTGAATTCCAAATCTGCTTGGCGGGGAAATTCTCCTGACCTGAACTAAACAGCTTGAGCACCATAGATTTAACAGAAAAACTACCATCTGCATTCCATTTCCAGCTCCATTGATCCTTCAGACTTAAATCAATCATCTGGTTTTGAAGCAAACCCAACAGTGCCGCATACTCTTCCACCTCCCAATCAAACAGGCTTCTCCTGCAAAGCGGATTCCAAATAATGGAGTCACCTGATGCATTAAAATTCTCAGCGATAGAAGAATCCTGATTTACAGAGATTTGTAACAGAAGAGGGAAAGCTTCTTCCAAAGACACTTCTGAACACCAGAATCCTTCCAAAATTTAATTCTTTCCCCATTTCCCACCTTAAATCTGATCCCTTCCAAGAAGATAGGAAGGTTCTTCAAAATACCTGCCCTCAGGGAACTCGCCCCTCTTGAATGAGGACACTTGGATCTCCAATCACCCCACTCCACCCCATGCTTTGCCGCAATAAGTTTTCTCCACCATGCATTTCTTTCAGTGGCAAACTTCCATAACCATTTACTAAGAAGGGCAGAATTAAATTTCTTCAAATTCCTTATTCCCGCCCACCAACTTCCTTTGGGAGACACACTTGCTCCCATTTTACAATATGGATCTTCTTTTCCTCTTCCCATCCCCTCCATAAAAAACTCCTCTGGATTTGCTCCAACCTATTTGCTATTTTGATTGGGATGGGGAATAGACAGAGGAAGTAAGTAGGAAGAATATCAAGAGTACTCTTAATCAGTGTCACTCTGCCCCCAAATGAAAGATGTTTTGCCTTCCAAAAAGCCAATTTTCTCTCCATTCTCTCAATAATTGAAATCCAAGTCGCAAAAGAAGAATATTTAGCCCCAAGAGGCAGCCCCAAATACTTGACCGAGAGAAAAGCAGTTTGCCAAGCCATCACTTCTGCATATTCTTTTAAATTTGGTACAAGATCCACTGGGATGATCTGACTCTTACTCAAGTTAACTTTGAGACCAGACACTACTTCAAACCAACTCAGAATCCCTAGCACTAATTCCAACTGAATCGGGGATGCATCAACAAAACATAAGGTATCATCTGCAAACTGGAGGATATTAACTTTTTCCTTTCCTGGAGAGATTGCAAATCCATCCCAATACCCATTATCTGCAGCCTTCTTATTGAAAAGAGTTAGAATTTCCATGATACAAATAAACAACAAGGGGGAAAGAGGGTCTCCTTGCCTCAAACCTCTAGAACTACCGAAAAACCCCATTGCTTGGCCATTAATTAGGATAGAAAATTTTGGGGTCTTAACACATTCTCTGATCCGGTTTCTCCATTTCTGCCCAAAATTCATTTTCTCCAGCACCAGATCCAGGCAATTCCAGTTAACATGATCATATGCTTTCTCAATATCAAGTTTACAAATTACACCCGGGGTACCCTTTCTTCTAGAGTCTAACAACTCATTTGCAATGAGTATTGAATCAACCATCTGTCTTCCCGGAACAAATGCACTTTGGTTACTAGAAATGCACTTTGGTTAGTTGAGAAAATTATAACTTAGTGCGGATTATTCTCAATTCCTATGCTTTAATAACTCAGTTGCCAATAGTTCTAAACTTGTAGGACATTCTGATTTAAACATCAATTGAGTCCAATTGTTGGCTTTGAAACATTGGATGTATGAAGGAACACTGCCATACCCTATAAGTTAAGGGCTATGATAATTCCTTGTTCTTGGAATGTCCTTGACAGGGATACCTTTCTAGTTGACTGGTCTTTTGGCCTTGTTGATTTATATATACTGACAAGATCAAAATTAGCAAGTGAAAAGTATTAGGTTTTCAGTGATCTCTATGATTTCCTACCACACTTGCATGTATGGAATCTCCAAAGTGCTTTCTTAGTTTCTCATAGACTACTGAGATTAATTTTCTTCAACCTAGAATTCTCCTATGTCAGGATTGTTGGGTCCTAATGTTATGCTTCCTGACCTTCTTACCACCACCAAGAACCCCATAGAAGCAAGGAATTGACTCATCAAATATTTGGAATCACAGTATTCATTCGTTAATTGATTAAAAAACATTATTCAGTGGTTAATTAATAGAGGGAGTAAATCATTGATGTCTTTGGAAACAAAATTCTCCCTTCAGAACAGAAACTTCATCAACATACAGGGTAGTGTTGGTTTCCAGAAACTTGTGTAAACCAATATTGTCAGTCTACATTACGTTTCATAGATCTTCTATCTTGCAATGCTTTTCTTACAAAAAATTCTTGCAATGTTTCCTTGGAATTAGATCCATATTCAGTGCCTGGAGGCTTGCAACTTCATAACAGTTTCTGATCTTCTTAATTATCAAAAAATCAGTTTCTGATCTTCTTCTTATTCTTCCTTTCTGCCTGTTGTTGTCTGTTTATGAGTTTCTGATTTGTGAACCTTGTCAATATACTAAGCCATTCTGATTTATTTTATTTATCCGAGAGCTAGTCTTGTAAATTGTTGATGGAACAGATAAGCCCTTGTGGTAAATCACCTTTCAGTTGGCTTGAGTTTTAAGTATTTAGTCTTTGTAATGCATTAGTTGTTGTTTTCTAGACAGTCACTCCCATCTCAAATTTCTATTCTTCATTTTTGTATTTTCACTATTTACTTTTTTTTGAGAAGGATGTTCACTATTAGTTTTCATCTCTATACTTCATTTTTGTTCCTTGTGGTTGTGATGACATAGTTGTGTCTCATTGGATTACCTAAAGGCTAAAAGGGTGACATTATGCATCTATTTCCTTTTCTTTGTCTCATACCAGAAGGACACGATCCACCATCAGGATCACCTTATATGAAGTGGATGCATGTATGACCTTTTGGGGATCTATTGACCTGGGTTTATACTAGGAAGTTAAACAAATGCTTTTTGTACAACTCTTAAGGCAAAAATTTATCTTATTTAGATGAAAGTTGTAATGTCAAAAACTTCAAAATATGTCAAAATGATGCCATTAAGTATTTCAAGTTAATTCCATGATTTTTTTTCTTTTCCTTCTTATTTATTTTTGTGTTGGCAAGTTTTACCAAGGCTTGAAGTGTTAGTGGGTTTACTACATTAACCTTCCTTTCTAGATCTTCATTATGGTTGTAGTTCCTAAACCTGCCTGGTGAAATGATTTAGTGCCATTAAGCATTGTATTACCTTTGCATGTACCAGCATATTGCTTAATCTATGGTGTCTAGGACAAAGACTCTCTGGATGATTTTATAACCACACATCTTGTTCAAGTAGGGGTGTAACTTGGGTAGGCCTGGGTTGAGCGTTTGTTAAATTTTGAGGGAGCCAGTTTAAGGTCCCAGGATTGATTTAGTTGAAATTCTTCAAATTGGGTGCCGAATTCGTATCCTTACCTTCAAGTGGTTATTTTTTTCAAAGGTAAAGAGAAAAATCATTCAAATAAAAAGAAATACATAGGAAGGTGATAAGAAATCACCCGAGAGAAGAAAGACAGACTTAGACACTTCTCACACCAGAAAACAACAGACAAAGACTCCAAACAGAACAGCAAAACAAAACCCTCCGACACCAAAACCTAGACCAAGAATAAAAGGACAACAGAAAACAGGAAAAAAGGTACTAACAGAAGAGATAAACTAATCTTCTCCATCAAAAGCCTCCTCTTGGTTGTTGCCATCTTCACCCTATCTCCCTCTTCCAATTAACCCTTTTATCGAGCTTTCTTCCTTCTTCTTCCTCTCAAACTCTTCTAAAGCTTTTAAGGCAAAATCTTCACCTCCTCATAAAAACAAACCCAAGCTTTTACCAATTTCTACATCCTTTCTAGCCGCTTCCTTGAATGAGACAAAACCAGTTTTCTCCACCTCCTTTTCGAGACATTAATCAAGTTCTCTAACAACAGAATTGAAATTCTTTTTAGGGGTGCCAACAAGATGACCATTCCCCAGCTGTTTACCCGGGTTAGAGGTAATATGAGAGTTCTCAATATTCAGATTTTGCTTTGAAATTTTAGAGGTCTTAYTGTTTCTTCTTTGTACACCCTTTTGTAGTTCTTTGTAGGGCCAGACCCAACCAAACCAAGCTTTAGATGGGAAAAGATCTTGGTGACATGCACAGTATGAGAGGATCTCACTCCAGAGGCTCCTTGACACTTTTTGGGTGTCACAGATTCAGCCCCAATCAAATCTTTCTTATCCTCCCCCCCTCCCCAAATCCATGCCTAACTTCCCGATCACCACCTCCTCGAAGACACAAAGATAAGCAATGTCGTCTTTGATTTGGGATGGTGAACAAAATTCCTCACCAACAAATTCGCTTCCTCCACCACCAACAATAGCATTTCCTGCGAGGGTGGCAACAGTAGACCCATTATTAGCAAATTCCTCCTCCATCAGGCCAATCTCTGCTTCTTCGTGGATCTTCCTGTCTGCTCTAGAAACATCCAATCCATTTAGGAATCGCAACAGGGCGGGGATTACATCCCCCATCCTCGACCCCGACCCCGACCCCCAAATCACCCCCCATCCTCGTCCCCGATCGCCGGTGGGAAAGGAGTCCCCCCTCCATCCCCAACGAGATATGTATGCACACACACACACACACACATAGAGAGAGAGAGAGAGACGGGCGACGGTGACTTGACGTCAATAGACGAAGGTTGAAGCGACGACAATCGGCGAGTGGTGACAGTGACTCTTCTTTGAGTAGCTTTTCTCTGTCACTCGAGTATCTCTATCCTCTGTTCGACAGGCGAGTGGCGACAGCGACGAGACGATGGTCGGCGAATCGGCGACGAAGACAAAGACGAAGGAAGAGTGGAAGACAAAGGTTCAGAGACAGAGTTCTCTCTTCTCTTTGTCGAAGTGTTTTGTGTTTTACTATCGAGGGTTTTAATATTTTTCTATTTTTTAAGTTTTAATCTTTTAAAAAAATGAATAATAATTATTATACTTATATAATATATAATATAATATTATATATTATATATCTTGTCGGTTTGTTAAAGCTATTTGGGTATGGTTTACTTCTCTGTTTGGATGCAGGTGGAACTCCCCCTTTAAATGTTCCAAGCTTGTTTTCTTCCATGCCTAATTGGCCAACTAAAAGGGCTAAAATCATGTGGAGGTGTGGTAGAGCTGTGGTCTGCTGGACAGTGTGGGAGGAGAGGAACTCAAGGATCTTCTCAAATAAAAAGAGAAGTGTGGAAGAAATCATGGAGATCATCCACATTAGGATGGTACAATGGTTGAGAACATTGGAGCTGTTCAAAGTGTTCTCAGTTGATGAGCTGTTAAGAAATTGGAAGGAGATTGCAGATTCAGGCTTATGTAGAAAGATATCAAAAGATTGCTGGACTCCACCTATTGGGTTCACCAAACTGAACTTTGATGGCAGCAGCATTGGCAACCCAAGGCCTTCTGGAATTGGGGGTGTGATAAGGGATGAAACAGGGAACTTGTTGGCCATGTACTCTGGGCCGATTGGGGTGGGAAACTCTTTGAGGGCTGAGATTTTTGGAGCTATTGAAGGGATACAAAGGGTCAAGGAAATGAATATCAAAAAGGTGGTTATAGAAGGTGATTCTGAAATGGTGGTGAAATGGCTAAAAGAGGATAGTGCTATGATGTGGAAATACAACAATGAAAAGATGAAGTATAAGTGGTTAACCAAGGACATGGAAATTCAATGTAATTGGATAAAGAGAAGTGCAAATGCATTGGCTGACGGTCTAGCTAGGCAAGGGGTAAATAGAGACATTATTTTGGGCTGTTTTGTAATCACTGCATGATCAGAAAGTTTCTTGGGTAGCTGGAGTTAAGACTTTTTAGCTCCATCCCTTTGTAATCTTGATTTTTATCATTAATAAAATTTCATTGTTACTGATAAAAAAATATAATATATTATATTATATATATATTAATCGGAGATGGGTCGGGGCGAGGATTGCATTCCTCGTCCCCGATCGGGGATTCAAGGGTAGCCCCATCCCCGACCCCGACCCTGCCAAGGTACCCCCCCTCCCTGACCCCGTCGGGTCGGGGAGCCCGGGTACCTGTCGGGGACGGGGAAAATTGCCACCCCTAAATCCATTCGAGGAGGGGGCCTTGGCAGTTGCATCAGAGTTTTTCTTTGGAAGAGCATCTTCAAGAACTTCTATCGACTCTCTGCTACTTTGATCACAACAACCAGAGTCGCCCATGTTGACCCCAAAACATCAAGATGCACCGTAGTCCCCCACTGGACTTACAGCATCTAAGACCACCGATTTTTCCTTGTTTTGATCGTTGTTTCCAGAAGCACCTTCGCTGTAGCCAGGACTCCCGGTCACGTTAGAAGTTCTTCCGACAGCAGGTCTCTTAACAACCTTCAGCTTTGACGCCTTGTGCAGTCTGACATTTCTTTGCTTATGAGCCAAATTCAAAATGAGACTATTTGCTTGCCTACCTTTGGTAGCATGTTTGAAGAGATTTTTACTCCTCTTAATAACCCCTACCTTGGGTGGGACATTAGGCCTCCTCGCACTAATTGATAAAGGATTTGGAGAGTGGGCCCTAGTGGAATCTCCATCCCCGATGCAAGACACCCATTGAAGATGTGGAGATGGGGACTTTCCATCTTCCCGAACAGTTACCACCGAGTGGGTCCCACTCCCCTCATCCTTATTCAAGCTCACCCCCAAATCATTACTCCTTCCTTTTCCAAAGTCTCGAAAGTCTACCAAAGCCGATGTGACAACCCCACTAGAAACGAAATCTTTTTTGGTACCCAAACTACCCTCATCTTCAACCTTCGGAACTCTCCATGAAAAGTATTTTCGAATTCCGCCTTCTCGAACCAGAGGGATCTTGAGAAGCACCTCCTTCCACCTTACGCGAGACTGGGTGATTAAGCCAACCGCCTGAGTAAGTTCCTTCTATTACCACTCTTAAATCGAAAAGTTAAGTTGTCCGCCAAAGCGAAGCAAAAGGGATGTTGGAACCGGATGAATTTCCTCCACCTTAATTAATATCACACACTCACTAAGTTCTTCCAATCTAGAGTTCTTGAGTCAATGAACCTAAAAATCCCACAAGCATCCCCAATCTCCCTGAAGGTATGGAAACTCCAAGCATGAAGAGGAATGCCGAACACATTAATCCAAACGAAGCTTGAAGGCCCCACATTTCTCAACGCACCACCGAGAGGATTCCACTTCCCCAGTCTTAACTCTGGACACCGAACTTGATCCTGTTCGGGCTCAAGAATATCCGAAGCTTCATTTTCACTACTGAAGGAGAAAAGAAAGAACCCTGCGCCTAGTCTTCTCACCTGGAAGTGACTACTTGGCATCCATTCAGTCATTGCCCAGTTCCAAACTACTTCAACATCTGGTTTAGAGTTGACGAAACAACCAACCAAGCATTTGTTTAAGAGCTTTAGTCGCTCGAAAGTTCCTTCAGTAGAGCTCAATACCACTTCTTTCATCATCTTCAGAGGTTAATGGAAGTATCAACTTGGCTTCCATAACAGCTTCCTCCACACAAGGTGAAGTACCATCATATAGAAATTATGTTGGGTCTGTACCTATGAGGAAGATGAACTGCACTGCTAATTTGAACTTGTACTATCATGATATCTGTTTACTTCCATATTGTATTATGTTATGCTATTATCCTTGCTTATGCGTTGTTTTCTATAGCATGCAGCATATCCAGATCTGGACGGTACAACATCATTCTTTGGTGTTTATGATGGGCATGGAGGTAAGAATTGGATTCTGGTATTTGATTAATTTTCTACCCAGATGATTTCGTTGCTGTTTGTTATCCTATATGGATATATCTGAAAGCATCAAATTTTGATAGCTATGGTGCTTCAAGCCTTCAATGAATGGCAATTTTGACATATTGCAAAAGTTTGGTGCAGAAAAAGTTCATTTCTCCTAGAGTTGTACTACAAAAAAATTCAGTCCAACAAAAACAATATGGCAAAGATCCTTTAGAGATGCCTTTGTTTTTAAGACAAATTTATTTTAAAAAATAGGATAAAGTTATTGGTATATTTATGTGGAAATATGGGCATTATATATTTGATATATTCATGTAATATTATGTTTATAGATATAAATGTATTTAACATTTTTTTATTAAAAATAATTCCCTGTTTCTCATTTCCCATAATATTTGTATTTATATGTATTTTTTTTACAACCAAGATTTTCAGTTGTTTGTATTTTAAATATGTATGTAAATATTTGGCAAGAGCTGTTCCTAGCCACTGGTTCATTTTTTTTTTCCTTTTAAGCTTGATTCAAACACTCGAACTTGAAGCACCACTGATTCCACTGGATACCAGTTAGTCATGCTGTGCTTTGTGCATGTATTTTGTTGTATAATATTTTATGACATGCATTTAAAGGATGTTGAAAGATTATCCAAAAAAAAAAAACTATGGTTTTCATTTACTGAACTCATATATGAAACATGTGGCAAAGACAGTTCAATTTTGCAAATATTGTCATATTGAAATATCCACGCCTTCCTTGCAAAAATATTGTTATTCCAAGTAATTACATTGCATTAAATATAATTTTCAGTGATTACTTGCTTAGGGGTTATGCAATTTTAATCGGTACCCATTTATCAAACAATTTTTACTCTTCTTTGGAATCTTATTTGCTTCTCTCCACTCTTTCACATTGTTTTAGCCAATATAGATTGAAGTTGTGTAGAGATCCATCTTTAATGGACACATAACATTGATGTGTTTTCAACTATGCATGCATTTATCATTATGCCTAAAGCTTAACTATGCATTGTCTATGTGCCCAACTATCACCTGACATGACATATATCTTTATATTTAATATGCCAATAGGTTATGTTATGATGATGATAATGGGATATCATGACTCATGATGCAGAAAACAACCTACATAATCATTTTATTTTACAATTTGTCAGGGTATCTAGGCGATTTTAGGCAATGGTGGGTCACCTAGTCACCTACACGATAAAGAATCTATTTATATACTAAAACAAGGTTGTCCATGTCAGCATCCCTATCCATTCTCCCCCACCCTTCATCTATCTCGTTTTTTTTTTTGATTTTTKATTTTTAAAATTTAACAAAACAAATCAATCAGCCAGTCATCTTCAAGACTTTCATCTCTCATTTAACTTGTCATTAACTCTCTTGTCTTATTCGGAAGAACAAGATGTAATGAAGACTTTCATCTCTCATTTAACTTGTCATTAACTCTCTCTTGTCTTATTCGGAAGAACAAGATGTAATGAAGTGGGAATGCGAGAAGTGGAAAGTGGAATAACCCATTAGACTTGGGAAATTGAAATGGCAAATGTTTCATTGAAATGGAAAATGTTTCATTCACAAACAATTCTATGATATTCTGACGAAGGGCATCACCGGCGACAGTGAATTGCGTCACCAGAGACTGTTAACACCGGCGACAAATCTCAGGTAAAAAGCTGTCAGTTTAAAGAAGGATGGGGAGGTTCGAATTAGTGGGAAGATGGAGAAAGGAAGCGCCCGTTAACGCAGAACTTTTTAAGTTTGAGGAAGTGAAGTCAAGGAATCTGGTGTCGATGAAGATCAGAGAAGAGAAAAGAGCTTCAGTGTACCTTCCGAAGAATGTGGTTGTATGGTTAAAAGGTTTTCTGGACGTAGCCATAGTTTCAAGAAGATCTCAGAATTGGAAGAATAGTATGAAATTAAATGGTAAGATGTTTGAAGCAGAACAACGGTTCAATAGGAAAGGGTGGTTCATCACAGCCACAGAGTGGTTTGGGCTGGGCAAAAAAACAGATGATATGCATCCCATGTGGAAACCAGAGTGAAGGTTGGACTACGGTTGTGAAAGAACTACAGGATTTCTTGTGGAGAAACTGGAACAATCAAGGCAAACCCAGGCCAACAACAGTGAAGTCTTCCAATCAAAAACAGGTTCAGGAAAGGAAGAAGACGGGAAGGGTAAGGACTGGAATAAAAAATATGTAGTCTCTGCAAAAAAGAAGGTGTCCAAATGGGGTTTGATAGCAGAGGAACTGAAACAGAAATTGGAATTCGAAGGTTCCTTCAGTCTGCAACCTTTTCAAGCAGATAAGGCCCTGTTAGAAGTGGGTAGGATGGTTGGGGAGATTCACGCTCTCCCTATTCAGACTTAGGAAGGTATAATGGTAGTTAGCCAGTGGACACCGAGTGCAAATCGCGTAGACCAAACAGAAGTATTCCTGCTGAAAGTTTTAGGACTTCTGTTCAACTTATGGTCCCCTGAAACTTTCAAGCAAATTGCATCCCAGTGCAGAGGTGCCTTGGAAGAGCTGGACACTTCAAATCTCAGTGCGGCTGTACTGGGTTTGAGAGGGATTAAGATGGAAGAAGTCCCAAGAACAGTGAAGTTGGAAGTAGGAGAATCTCAGACTGTGGTTTGGCTGCTATCATCGGTGGAGGAGAGACTCTGGAGAAACTTGTGGGAGGTAGAAGATGATGACGTGGCAAGGGTCAAAGAAATAAAGAAAGTTGACTGTTTTTGCAAAACAAAGTTAAATGAACAATCGCCCAGTTTGAAAATTGGAAATCAGGGCATTAAGGAAAACTTTAAATCTGAGCCGTCTATTAACACACGCGTGGCATCCAATCAGTCATTTGTGGAGGTGACAGCTGGAACGAGCAATAAATGCTCCTTTAATGCTAAGCACGCAGCCTTAGTCAGTCCGATGGGTGAACCGGCGAACCAATGAGCAGTTCAACCCAAAAGATTGCAGACAATAGCAGGGGTCTATCATCATCTTTCTCGACCCCTGTTGTTCGTCCCCCGCTGCGGGTTTGACACAGAGAAGTAGGGCCACCACTAAAGGTTCACGGGACACTGGAAAAGGAAGTGGCAACACTTGGGTATGGAAACCAGTGCCGACGAACAACTCTACATCCCCTGATAAGCCAAATCCGAAATTTAATAGGCATGAGAGTGACAAATCTGAAGAGGAAAGTGACTGGGAAGATCTAATGCAAGAGAAGGCATATCATTCGGAGCTAGAAGATAGCATCAGAGGTGTCAACACTGCTAAAACACGCATCTTGTGGGAAGATGAAACGATGGGAACAGAGTTGCTGTTCGAAGACCCCTCTAACTGTTGTAGCTTGGTTCCAAGAGAAGAATCGGATGATGGTCCTGCGCCAGTCTTACTAATAAAGGAGTGTTGGATCTCGACACTGACCCAAGCCAAGAAGCACAGGAGGATCAGAAAATTGATGTTATATCAGTGTTGCCTGACAGGGATTCCGAATCAGAGGGTATTGATAAAGGGAAGGATTCAGAATTGCTGGCACAGGGAGTCCCTAACCCCGTTTCTTTGTGTTTACCTTTTTAGTCTGTGAATTCTTGTTTACACCCCTCTAAGCTTTGTGTTTCGAACTACGCAGGTACAACCAATGCCATTCCTCCCTTGAATATTCTAATGGATTGTGCCACAGCTCAAGAGTTTGAGAACATTTCGGAAGATAGCTTAGAACAGGAGAGAGCTAGAATTTGGTCCCTAATTCTGGAAAACCTATTGGACCCGACCCTAGGAGCGGAGAATATTGATAATAGAGTAAACCACCCCTTCACCCAACCAAAGTTAGTTCCCCGGACTTTAACCCAGGAGGAGGATAGGAGGCTGAGTCAGGAGGAGAAAGAAGAGTCAGAGGAAAACCGAAGAGTGGGAAGAAAGAGTGAAGGAAGAAAGGTATATTTAAGGAAGAAAGGAAAGCAAAGAAGAAGAAAGCAAAGCGAGCTAGAGAAGCTTAAGTGTGGAATTAACTATGAGAGGAAGAGGGGAGCCTGAAAAGAAAAAGAGGGGTACAATAGGCAGTCATTGATTAGGGGTTTTAAGCAGGTTGAAATGAAGATAGTCAGCTGGAATGTAAGAGGCCTTGGAAGTGCCAAAAAGAGGAGAATAATCAGGAATATTCTCAGAAAAGAAAGACCAGATCTGATTTTGATTCAAGAAACCAAATTATTAGAGTTATATAGAAGGTGGATAAGAAGCATTTGGGGAGCTAGGGGTCTAAGCTGGTCGTTTTCCCCATCATGGGGAGCCTCAGGAGGGATTTTGCCCATTTGGAGAAATGAGGAAATGGAATGTGTGGAGGAATTGATTGGTAGATACTCAGTCTCCATAAAAATTAGAAGACCCTCGGATGGGAGTGAATGGGTGGTAACAAATGTATATGGTCCCAATTCCTATAGAGACAGGGAGGCCTTTCGGGAGGAGTTATGGGAGGGACCATGGTGTGTGGGAGGTGATTTCAATGTTATCAGATTTTTGGGAGAAACAAACAAGCCGAACCAAGGAATCACTACCAACATGAGGAAGTTTAATAACTTAATCGACTCCCTTGAATTGAGTGAAACTCCAATGTTGAGGGTGGACTATACATGGTCAAACTTCCAATCTCCTCCAACCTGCTCTAAACTGGATAGATTTCTAATTACTCCTGATTGGGAAGAATTGTGGGGCTCAATAGTAGTGAAAGGGCTACCTAGGGTTACCTCAGATCATTGCCCCAGGTAGTGTTTTAAAAGCGCAAGGGCCAATTTGTGCTTGAGGCGCAAGGCGAGGTGCACGCCTTTTTAAGAAAGGCACGAAATAAAAAAAAAAACTAAAAAAGTCAGAAAATTCAAAAAAATGCTAAAAAATGCAAAAAATTCAAAAGATATTAAACATAATGTT